GTGTGTGGGTTTGTGTGTGTGTGTGTGTGTATGTGTGTGTGGGAGAGAGTGTGTGTGTGTGTGTGTGTGGGAGAGAGTGTGTGGGTTTGTGTGTGTACGTGTGCCTTTCTGTCTGTTGCTCCTCCTTTCCTATCAAACATCTATCGCCCTCATCTCTCCTCCTCCTTTCCTATCAAACATCTATCGCCCTCATCTCTCCTCCTCCTTTCCTATCAAACATCTATCGCCCTCATCTCTCCTCATTTATTATGTATGTTACTCTCCAGTAACACCTCTAATCTTCAGCACTTATATGACACTAATTATGTTACAAGTGCTGTAAAACTCTTACTACTAAAACAAACAAAGCGACAATCTAACGCAGACTTTCCCTTCGTGTGTCGTGTGTGCATGTGGTTGAATGATGCATCTGATGTGATATGTACATTTTGACAGCTTTACTTCCCTTTTCATATTGAATTTTAATGAGAGTAATAGATCTATATAATTCCAATTTTTAATGTATACCTGCATGTGTTTTTACGGTCCTGTACAGCCAAGAAAAATTTCCTTCTGGGATAATAAAGTATTATCTTATCTTATCTTATCTTATCTTATCTTGTCTTGTCTTATGTGTATCAGGGTCACCGTGCGACAACTTCCGCGGCTACTGCGACGTGTTTCACAAGTGTCGCGGGGTGGATGCAGACGGACCGCTGGCACGACTCAAGAACCTGATCTTTGACCCTGAGACTTTGGAGAATATCCAGCAGTGGATTGTGGTGAGTCTGTCTGTCTGTCTGTCTGTCTGTCTGTCTGTCTGTCTGTCTTTTTCTCTCTGTCTCTCTCTGTCTCTTTATCCTTCTATCTCTCTCTCTCCCGCTGTCTCTCTCAAGAACCTCATCTTTGACCCCGAGACTTTGGAAAATATCCAGCAGTGGAGTATGGTGTGTCTGTCTGTCTGTCTGTTTGTGTGTGTGAATATGTCTGTGTGTTTGTGTGGGTCTCTCTCTCCTTCTGTGAGTCTTTGTCTCTCTCTGTCTTTTTTTCTCCTTCTGTCTCTCTCTCTCTCCTTCTCTCCCAGAAACTTCATCTTCGGCCCCGAGAATATGGACCTTGGAGAATATTCAGCAGTGGACTGGGGTGTGTCTATCTCTTTCTCTCACTCTCTCTCCTTCTGTGTCTTTCTCTCTTTATGTCTCTATCTCCCTCTCTCCTTCTCTCTCAAGAACTAGATTTTTGATCTTAAGACTTTGGAAAATATACGGCAGTGGACTGTGGTGGGCAGTGGACTGTGGTGGGCAGTGGACTGTGGTGGGCAGTGGACTGTGGTTTTTTTGGGC